CTTCCTTTCCTATTTTCCTTTTTACTTGTTTATTTCCCTCCCACTCTCTTTTTCCCTTCCCTCCCTCCCTCTACCCCTTCTTTTTCTCCTTCCTTCTTCCCTCCCTCTCTCCCTCCCTCCCTCTTTTTCTCTGTTCTTCTTTCCTTCCCTTCCTTCCAATTTTCCTTCCTTCTCATTTTCCTTTTTCCCTTCTTTATTTCGCTTCCTCCCTTCCTCCTTTCTTATTTCCCTCCCTTCCTCCCTATTTTCCTCCCTCCTTCCTTCCATCCCTCCATCTTTAGAACTTAGGGCCACGGCCACCCCTTCCTACCGGCCGTGTGTCTGCCCACCTTCCTGTGGCCTTTCCCCCCTCAAAGCCACCCTTTGACTCTCAGTCATTTAAAGACCCTTTTAGAGTCGGATTAAAGACCACCTACCTTACAATTTCTTCTTTCGGTTCCTCTGTGTTTCAATTCTGGGGGTTCCCCCCCCCCCATTCTGGTCCTGTACATTTTGGGATGCATTTAAGAGAGATGATTGTCTGTGTAATAATCCTAGCCCCTTAGTGAACCTCTTGGGAATAGAAATTGGGAGTGGAAGTTAACGCAACGCCATGAACAGCCAGGCAAATCCTAGTTGCGCATGTTTGGTAGTAAAACCAGGTGTCAGAAATGTCAGCGGTTGGATCAGTCATAAGAAAAATTCCAGTAAAAGAAACGAAGGACAGCGACACAAATAATAATTCTTACTTGTAAGGTTCAGAGGTTTATTTCATCAGCAGTTTGGAACGCGAACGGCCATCCTAACCCAACTTCACAACCCATCGCAATGGGGTCCATTGACATCAGGGGTGGGATTCTTATCGCTTCGGACCGGTTCTATAGAACCAGTCGTTATAATTCTGCACAGTTTGGAGAAGCGGCAAATCATGCCCCTACCTGGCTCACCCCTCTCCTCCCAGTCAGTCTTTATCGCACATGCGCAACTTCGCGCGTATGCCCGACATTGCTGACCGTGTCCTTACCTGCCCAGTCAGGTGTTTGTTTTTTTTCCCCTCCTGATGATCCTACGATCACCTGTGCCGGGATTATGGCTTCGCCCAGGAAGCTTCCCTGAGTCCCAGGAAGGCAAAACATAGAGGGATTAGGAAGTGATGAAACGGGCCTAGCTGGAGGTATCAGCGGGGGGAGATCTGTTTGGGCCCAGGGGTTTGCCTGGCTTGTGGTGTGGAGATTTTTTTTGTTTGTGAGTGCAGGCTTCCAAATAACGTTGCTACAACTTGAAAAGCACAACTATAATGACGTGGGAAAATACCCGAACAAAGCTGAATGCCATACATGTAAGTACCCGCGAAAACTTAAGAAAACATATATATATATATATCTATTAGGAAGCATGAATAGAAGAGATGATTCCACCAGACTGTCAATCATTTGGAAGCCTGCACTCACAAACAAAAAAATCTCCACACCACAAGCCAGGCAAACACCTGGGCACAGACAGATCCGCCCTGATACCTCCAGCTCAAACACACCCCAACCAGGCACCCAGATGAAACCTAGCTTCCTAAACAATGATAGCTGTCCATTTACTTGGAGCCAAGCTGCACTAAAAGCCTCCAATACAGGAACACAATGTTGCCAGCCAATCAAGACACAAAAAAAGCCACAAAACAGACAGAAGATATTAGAAACACCAATCAAGCAGAACACAGCAAACTCCAAGACCGATAAACACAGACCAAGACTCCCAACCAATCAGGATGAAGACAAACCCCATTCTGGCACAGCAGTAGGCTAGCCCCAAATTTAAAACTGAAACAACTGTAAAAGTCTGACTCACAGACGAACACAATACAGAAGCCTGATGATGGCAGATGAGATTCTGCCGAAACGTTGCTACAACTTTAAAAGCACAACTACAATGACGTGGGAAAATACCCGAACAAAGCTGTTAATCATACATACTAGGGCTATCCACAAAATAGATTACGTTTTCGTCTGTAGCAAGAAGGGGCGGAGCTATCGTGGCCATCTTTGGTCTGTGCGTCCGCCGCTCAGTCTGCATCTAGTCATGCTAGTGGGAGGTTCGTATCGTTGCCTGTTATTTCACAGCAAACATTTGAAATGTGTGCTGCAATTGAAAATCCCGCGAGTTGTGAGGTGCGATCAGTGATAAGGTTTTTGTTGGCAAAAAACCATAAACCGATTGAAATTTTTCGGCAACCGTGTGAAGTGTACAGGGACATCATCATCACTGAAGGTGGAGTGCGCCAATGGTGCATTAAGTTTAAAGATGGCCGAACTACGGCACTCGAGAAGTCCTGAATGCTTTTAAGTGGGAGATTTTTCCTCATCCGCCCTACAGCCCCGATCTTGCACCAAGCGAAAGCATTCAGGACTTCTCGAGTGCCATAGTTCGGCCATCTTTAGACTTAATGCACCATTGGCGCACTCCACCTTCAGTGAGGATGTTGTCCCCGTACAGTTCACACGGTTGCCGAAAAATTTCAGTTGGTTTATGGTTTTCTGACAACAGAAAACTTATCACTGATCGCACCTCACAACTCGCGGGATTTTCAATGGCAGCACACATTTCAAACGTTTGCTGTGAAATAACGGGCAACGATACGAACCTCCCACTCGCGCGACTAGATGCAGACTGAGCGACGGACGCACAGACCAAAGATGGCCGCGCTAGCTCCCCCCACTTCTTGCTACAGACGAAAACGTAATCTATTTTGTGGATAGCCCTCGTATTTTTATGGTGCAATCAATCCTTAACCTTTCCTTTTGGTTTATCCGACGGTTTTCAGTTTGGTGGGATCGGGAAATCCCGTGTTCCAAATAAAATGTGTGGGGTTTTTTTGTGTGTGTGTTTCTTGGTGACCTCAAGGCTTGGGAAGTCCCCCGAGAGAAGCCACGTTTCCTCGGAGTCGTACGAGCCGATCTCGCCACCCCAGGCGCCAGCAGTCCACGACAAACAGGACAACTTCCTGCTGCTCTCGCAAAGACCAGAGCCTTCGGAACAGAGGTAACTGGGGTTTGTGGGTCAATTAACCGGTGGAACCCCTTGCTTCCAGAAATTGTGGGCCCTCCCTTCCCTGAAGGTTTTTAAGAAGACTGGACAGTACCTTGACTGAAATGGTCTAGGGATGTGATGGTGAACCTTTTCCATGTTGCGTGCCCAAAGTGCGCTCGCATGCGTGGCAGATTACCTGACCAATCAGCTGGCTTTGCGAGGGCCGCGCACGCATGCGCAGTGGGGGGGGGGCGCTTCCGGGCAACCTCTCGTGCGCTGGCAGAAGTGGCTCTGCGTGCCACTTCCGGCGCACGTGCCGTAGGTTCGCCATCACGGGTCTAGGGTCTTCTGCTTGAGCAGGGGGTTGGACTAGATGACCTCCAAGGTCCAACAGAGTTGGAAGGGACACACACACACACATACATCTACACATACCAGACACACTGCAAGAAACAAGGACATGCATTCCATTTCGTGACTGCTACGATTGTCGGCCGAGCAGGGGTAAAAATAGCCAGAGAAATGATCGAAGCCTGGGACACAAGCCCCTTGTTAAGTCAAAGGATGTGCGGATTTACTATCAGCTTACTACATACTTAGGAGCTGAAGGAGCAGCAGCACAAGGAAACATCAATGTGTTAACAGCCCGCCACATAGTCCTAATTAACAACTAAAAGCCACACACAACCAGGCACCACATAAATACCATGTTTCCCCGAAAATAAGACCCTGTCTTGTATATATATATATATTTTTGGGCCACCCAAAAAAGGCGCCAGGTCTTATTTTAGGAGGATATCATCTACTGACTAACCTCACTTGCGTGCGTCGCCCCCGGCCTCCTTTTCGCTGTCAGAGGCCTCCAGGAACTTCTTCTATGGCCGGCAAGGCTTTCCTGAAGGCCTCTGCAGCCGATAGGATCGATCCTGAGCTTGGTTCTCAGCTCCTTCATGAAAGCTTGACCAGCCTTGCTGGCCGCAGAAGAAATGGGCCGGCAAGGCAGGTGTCCGGGTGTGCGAGGCCTGGCTACAATTGTCCAAAAGTAAGTAGTAGCACAGCTCCACCCCCATCTGTTGTGGCTCCGGGCTTGGATTCAGCTCCTGTGACTGATATGAGTTCAAGTGAGGAGGTCATGGTAGAAAAATATGAGCCGGCATGGCTCAGTGATTGGACTGGTAACCAGGATGAGGAGATGGACGTGACAAAGGACGACAGACCTGATATATTAGAATTGTCAGGACCTTTGACCTCCTCTGGTTCCTTATCTGATCAACAGCCGGGAATGGCTGACAAGGAAGTTTTGAGAGAGTCTTCTAGTGCAGATGAGAACTTGGAAAATTTGTGGTTAAATGTAAGGAACAGAAGACGGTTGAGAAGGCAAACTCAGCTGGAACGGAGGAGGAGAGCGAGTCAGTAAATTAGCACGTTGCCTCAATGAGTATAAAAGGACACAGCTGGGCTGGTACAATTTGCCAGGAACAAAGTGACTATTTGAGTGAGGACGTTACAGCAAGAAGCTCTGAGACTGGAGATTTATTGCCAGGACTGGTTTGCCGGACAGAGTAAAGATTTATGCTGTGGTTTCTGCCAGCCGTTATCTTGTCAGACTTCTTTCCGTTCGATTTAATTGTGAAACGGCTGCTTTCTGTTTTGTTCGTTGGAATTTTGAAGGGGAGTCATAACACCCATCCCTCCCCAGCTTAATTTTTACCCCTCTACTCTTGAGTGGGAGAGATCTGAATGAGGGCTTATTTTGAGGGGCTAGGGCTTATATTGGGCGCACATGTAAAAAAAAAAACCAAGCTAGGGCTTACTTTCAGGGTAGGTTGTATTTCCAGGGAAACGGTATTGCATGTATTTATCCCTGTTGATTTTGGAGGTGGAGACCTCGCGTGTAACGTGATTTTAATGTATGGCGATTCGCGTGCTTTCAAAGGGACAATAAAGTTACTCTATACCCTCTCTATCCTTTTCCTCCTTCCTCCTCCCCGCGTGCATTTAATTCTTTTCTCCTTTCACCTCCTTGGCTCACACACAGGACGGACTCCCGTTCTCCGGGAAGCATCGCCTACCTGCCTTCCTTCTTCACCAAACTGGAGAGCACCTCCCCGATGGTGAAGTCGAAGAAACAGGAGATCTTTCGCAAGCTGAACTCGTGCGGGGGAAATGAATCCGATATGGGTAGGAGGTCCTGTTTTTCCGCCCCCCCCCCCTTCTTTTTCACTCCCTTCTGTGGGGTCCCGGGTGCTCTCTGACCTGGGTTGCTTTCTCGCAGACGTTCAAGAACCCAACCAGGGAACATCATCAGGGCTGGAAGGGAGGGGGGTTTGAAGGTGGGGGAGGAAGAGGAAGAGGGGAAGAACGAGGAGGACTGAAGGATCCTTGGTGCTCTCTGAGTTGGGTTGCTTCCTCACAGACGTTTCAGGACCCAGCTAGGGAACATCATCAGGGCTAGAAGGAAGGAGTTTGTAGGGAGGAGAAAGAGGAGAAAGAGGAGGAGGGGGAGGAAGAGGAGGAGGAAGGAAGAGGGGAAGAAGGAGGAAGACTGAAGGATCCTTGGTGCTCTCTGAGTTGGGTTGCTTCCTCACAGACGTTTCAGGACCCAGCTAGGGAACATCATCAGGGCTAGAAGAGAGGAGGGTTTGCAGGGAAGAGGAAGAGGAAGAGGAGGAGGACGACGTCTGTGGGGTCCTTGGTGCTCTCTGAGCTGGTCAGCTTTCTTGCAGACGTTTCAGGACCCAGCTAGATAACTGATTCCTGAGATTGTCCTAATTAAATCACGAGCCTGGAGCCAAGCTTCAAAAAAAAAAAACTCAAAAAAGATTTATTAGGAGTAACATGCCGGCATTAACCTAAACGAAGCCAACTCTGGCGTACGTCATTCACAGTCCCCTGTGACTCTGTTTTTTTCCCCACCTCCCTCCTGGCTGTGTCAGATTCTCCAAGGAGGCACTGCAAGATGTCATCAATCACATTCTCCAATAAAGGGATTTTGGGGGGGGGGGATTTCATAACCCGACTAGGGACCATCGTCTCCGGCCCCAGCGCAAGGACCGTTCAACCCTCAGCTACAAACCTCTTAGCTTTCTCCCATCTCTTCACCTGTGTCTCTTCCTTCTCTCTTTGTGAACAGCAGCTGCTCAGCCTGGGACGGAAATATTCAACTTGCCAGCAGTCACCACGTCAGGTACGGACTCCGGAAACAATGAGGCACAGCGGGGTCTTCCCCCCCCGCCCCCCCAACAACTCCCACCCACCCCGGCTCTTTAAATCCCTACGACATTTGAGTGGGTCATTGACCTCCTCTACAAATTAGCGGAGGCCACCAAGGCTGTTGGAGCCACGATTGGACTACGGGGTCTATCCTCCCCAGCCAGATCAATCCGGCAGTCCTGCTGACTCGTCCCCAGCAGCTTCCTTCTGGGGTTGCTCTGAAAGGAGATGGGGGATTCAAAAAGGGTGAGCCATGAAGAAAGGCCGTCCTTGGGCCAAAATTGAACAGGTGAACAGATGTCTCGCTTAGCAACGATAGCCAATGCTGGTTGTAGGTTGAGGACTACCTGTCGCAGATATTCATAACTGTGAGAACATTGCCCTTCCTTTCTTCCTCCCTCCCTTCTTCCCTTTCTCTCTTTCTTTCTCTTTCTTTCCTCTTCCCTTCCTTTCCAAACTTCCCTGA